TCAACTCCTTCCCGAAGGTCGTGCTGAAATGTCAGTCAAGTCTTGACAGAGCGTGATTACTGTATGGCAGCTTAGCCCAACTTCTTTTATGCCGTCCGGGGCGCTGGGGAGTGCCGTTGACTCATCTACAAAAGAAGTCCTCCTGGCTAATTTGCTGAAATCTTGGTCGTGGTGCCCACAAAAAAATCCAAAGTTGAAAACTCCTCGAAAATGTCAGTCCTAGCATAGTATTCAGAGACCTGATCCCCCTTTCGCTCCACATCTCAACCGCCTGTCCTTCCTCAAGTTGTTTGTCCCATTAGAGCAACAGTCCCCCATAAGCCAAGACCCAGGCTTTGTATTTTTCGACTTGATTTCCTTGCGGGTATACGTAGCGTCGTAAATTTGTAGTGAGTGATGGCCGGTAATGAATGAGGCAAGCTCCTGTTTGTAATTGGGGTGACGCCTTTATCGGTCGTTGAGGCGAAATAATATGTGGTCAGAGAGATGTTGAGGACTCAGAAGATAATGGTGAGTGCTGCATGATTGAGAGGTGGTCAAATGGAGATAAGCTTGAGATTACCTTCGACTTCGATTCGGATGCGATTCTTCTTGGCTATCCCAGATATGCAGAGCATACTGAGCCGACAGCTACCAGTATTCGGAATACTGGAATCATCTACCCAAAAAGGGCGCTGCATGTAGCTGTAGATTTATTCTTCGGTTATTGAATAAATTACTTTTTGACATACAAACTCCCAAGCTTTCTATATTGAATTTGTTACATCAGCCAGTGTGGATTCCGTGCTCTGCCCTTCCAGATCGATTTATTATATCTGAAATTGCCACGTCGGCTTCCCCTGCAAGTCGAACTGTTTTATCCGTTCTTTGCTTGGTATCCGCTGTGTGATTCTAGCCAAATCTTCCGGGCTGTTAATCACTGCTTCAAATGACCTATCTCGAGCTTGTCGGAGAAAGTGGCCTCTCCCACCTGCTCACTGCGGATACGCCAACACCATGTGCTCAACGTTTTGTGACGGATATCCACATTGACAGCTTGACTTTTCTGCTCCGGGTATCTTTCTTCTGTCCAGGTACGAATTAAACCCAATATGCTCGCTTCTTAGCTGAATGGCGAGGTTACTATGATAATTGTTATGTTACAGATTGGGGGAAGCTCGCCTCTTATTCCCAACCTCGTTCGCTTGTAGAACGATCGCATAAACAGTGTGTAATGCACCAAATTGTGCTTCCAACTGAGCAACCATGCCATTCGTCCTACATCAACAACCCATCTCTCATACTGCACACATTACTACTCGTAATGCTGTTATGTAGAGACTGCATCTCCTTCATGCTCCATAATTCCATACTACCATAATAACTACCTGTGCACAAGCAATTAGATCTACCATACTACATAGCTAAGCACAAAAGATATTTACACACTGCAGTGTATCTTGACTCATCATGGTAGATGAGAGGTGTTTAGTCATTACTAAGTATGACGGCCACACAAGACTAGTGGGGATTTTTCCCATAGTAATCTAAATGTCCAATTTTCTCATAATTGTGAAAATAATAAGTCTTCTTTACTTCATCACTCCATTTTCATCAAATATCGTACCGAGTATTTTTCCAACACAGCCTTATATATTGGCTTGACTGCCGGTGCAACAAACTTTGGGAAAAATGCTCTAGAAGACTCCACTCCACGATAAAATCTAGCGGCTGCAAGAAATTTGTTATGTGTAAACAATCCAACTTATCAATTTTTCTTCAGGTTGTTATATAGTCTATCTTTTATCGGCCGATGGACTTGTATCTTTTTCCCGAAAATATGAAGACTGTTGGTAGGAGTATTCACTGAGTAGCTGCTAGTAGCATGTCGTAAATGATTCCTAGTTGTTCCCTATTCAACCCCCCTAACGCTATATGGAAAACTCCATCGCCACATGTCACCTGATTAGCACGTGACACGATCGGTTGAATGAATTTCTCTAGTTTAACGTCCTAAGCGGTATCTATATACAGATCGATGAAGATGGTAGGCCGCTTTGGTAAAGGAAAAGCTTCAACAAACAAAACCCGACGTCCTGCCACTCTGAAGCGACCCGGCTTTATGCTGAGGACGTTCCTTTCAACCGCAATTATGTAAACTTTCCTCGAAATTCATTAACTCCCCCTTCAATCAGACCATCGTTATGAGAAATTAAAAAGAGAAGGCACCTCCTCACTCGGCGTTGGTCTTCGAAGTGTTCGAAGAGTTGGCCGCGATGGTGGTGCTGCTGTCGAGGCGATGGTTGGTGCCGCTGGGGCTTCGACTACCTTACGCGGTCGTCCTGGCCTTCTTTTGAGTCCTTCAGCCTTTTTACTGGTGACCAAAGTGAATCCCTGATCATCGATCGTTCCGACTGTTCGTATTGGCGCCATTGTTGGTTTTTCATTCCATATTTCCGCCGTTCTCGATAACAGCTCCATTCGAGCCTTCTCCACACTTCCCTTGTAGATCTGGTAGGTCCGACACGCTGCTTTCTGCCGCGAACGGTGCTCCTTGCCGCAGTTCGCACAAGAAACTCTTTTCCTCGGACAGTCCCGAGTTTACTGAGCGCCAGCGCACTCACCGCACCTAGCTGCCTTTCCACACGACGCCTGTGTGTGTCCCCATTGGCTGCAGTTGTAACACTGCTTTGGCTGAGCCCGTGGCGACCATATCTACGCGGTGAAGAGCATGGCGTTAATAACAAGGCCCTGTCGAACTACCTCCGTTTGCATTGCCTCCGATGGGAGGCTGACCATAATTGTTCCGCGATTACGACCGTTTTTCTTCGATCGCTGATGTTCCTTTCCATCATGGAGCCATCGTATTCTACTTATTACCAGGCCTGATATTCGTGCCTTAGTCGCCGTCTCAATCTCCCTGATGATGGCGTAGTTGTTGGCATCTCTACCACCTTCAATTCTTGTCCGAAGTAGTTCTCCGGAAACTTCAACTGGAAAATCTTGCCGTAGAATTTTAAATTCCGCTGGTTGTTGCATATTAAGCGCCGCATCTCTCTGAGACGTCGACTGGACAAACACTTCGGTGTCGTTGCTTCGCATCTGCCGAATTTCAAATGCGCCTTGAATATGTTGCTGTGCCTTTGAGAGCAGCTCTTGTGGCTGCAAGTTTTGGGCGCCATCGATTCTTATCCGCAACGCTGTTTTCTTCATTTACGGAGCCACGACCGATGCGTAACTCCTTGGTGGCGCCGCGCCCGAAACCACTGCTGGTGCATCTTTCCGAGCGGGATCCGCGAGGCTTTTCTTTACGACTTCCTCTAAAGCCATCATCCTCTCCTCGATTGGAGACTTCTTCTAGGACAGTTCCGTCCAGGTCCTTTTGTGTGCGTTGAAGGCCTTCACGGCCTCGTTCAAATCCTCCATTGAGGATAAGTCCTCCTCATCCATCTCTCCCATCACGATAAATCTAGCCTGTTTTAAGAGTTTCCCCAGGATTTCAAGGTTTCTATCCTTTGGAGCTGTCTACGCTCCGCTGCCGTTGTTCGTTAAGACCATTGTCGCATTTTACGACGCGTTGAAACCGCGGGATTTACCCACACCAGCACCCACACTTCCCATATTGAAGCACGTGTAGCGAATAGATAAGAGGAAGGTAATGAAGCTAAAAAATAAGATTCACGATTGTCAAATTGATGATAAGGGCAGCGTGGAACGCTGCGTAGCTTTTTGGCAAAAATAATGTTTATGGCACGATCGGTTATCCACAATAATCCGATGAAAACCATGTATCATCTGGAACATATATTGGCACTAACACAAAGGTAGTATTCAATTGTTTATATTTTTAAATACTGTAGTCTTTGTGATAGAGCGATTCAGAGCTCTTAATAAATGTGTATTCTCCGAGACCCAGCAAGCTGAGCAGCATTATTTTAGGCTGAATTAATTAATATGTGATCCACCGTCACAAGGTCTATATTCAGGCACCACGCATAGTTACAAAGCTCAGTTTAACACCGAACTGCTGGTGTAAAATAATTCTGCTCTCGATAAGATGGTAGAAACACCTGGCGGTCTTGGGTTGCACGGGCGGGCTAAAGCCTCTTTGAAGGGCTCAGAGGCCGGGCTTATCCTGTGTGCCTTCTTCGAGTTAAATTTAAATCAATCAATCCTTCAAAGTTGATGTTAATTTTCACACAGTGTAAAGTCTTTTTCTCTGGTTGAAACTCGTCAATATCTTCACGAAAGTTTCTTCTTATAAACACGAATTAAAAAAGGTGACCACGAACATACATACATATTGCGTGTCGCTTGTTGAGCTAAGCGTGTCTAGTGGGTTCAGCCTGAGCGAGAAATATCCCCTAACATGTTTGAAAGCTTCAAAGTATTGCTTAGGAGATATGACTGCCCCATTTATCCTAATAATATGTCTTTTCATGAAGTGTTGCCATTTTCTTAGTCCTTCTCTTGACTAATATCTTCTTCGCCATCACTAGATTCCAAAGCTTTTCTCAATAAAGCTCACAACATCTAGATATTTTTTGTTCTTTGGCGCTGGGTTTAAGCTGCACAATATTGATAATTAGTAAAATAAAGTTAATGAAAGGAATTTTTTAACTGACTGTATTAGAGCTCCCAGTCAGTTTCTTATCCACCTCAGCATGCCTTACTTTTTGTGGACTTGCCTCCGCTAATTTCATATTGACCAACAACTTTTCCTAGGGGTTTACTGGGTTCCAGTCCCATAATTTCAGAAACAGTGCTACCTTGAGGATATGATCTAAGAACGTATTTTTTGATGGCCCGAATCTTTTCCTGGAGAGATAAGCCCTGAGGGTCATCTGTACAATTGAAAATACAGCAAGCCATTTTATTTAGCTTCAGTAGTATGTGCGGCCTGTTGGGCTTATTCAGATAATGCCAACTCAGTTGTCCTCGTAGCTTCTGCTGATTTTTTCGTAACTCTTGACGCTGGAACGGAATGAGATGATTATTAGGGATTCCTGTGTTGTCTAATATTATACTACACAAACATCAAGGGTTGATACTATATCGGCACAAAATTTCCACAAGAAGCGTGTTTCATTTTCAGTGCGTTGACCTGTGTTGATGGCAAGGCAGCGACGAACAACATTGGCATAGATAGATCCTGTCATCCTATTGATTGGTTAGAGGTAGAAGTCGGACTCAAAGTAAAAAATGAAAATGTAGATGAAGTCCAAAAATTAGAGTCACCAAAATTTTTAGATGCTTGGGAGCATTAGTTAGATCTAGATCTTTACATTAATGCTCCCAGCTCTAAGATTTAGAACTATAACTGCTTGAAGAAAAACATATAAAAGTGAGTAATGAAGAGTTACAACTTACCCGTCAAGTCTTAAAGTTGCCTCTTGGAGTGCCCTCTTAACTCTGTCGTAATCTCGATCCAAGACATCTGTGACCTGCTCAAGAGGCTCCCAAAGTCCAATCTCCAAAAGTAAGCAGCCGAGGCTGTAAATATCATGAGCTCGACTATATCTGACAGCTGGATTCCAGCGCTTGTCGGGATGTGCATAATAGTTGTTTGAGTTAGACTTTGGGGAAGGACGCACCTCGCGCCTTTGAAGATCTCGTCGTTGGATATCGCGTCGTTCAATATGAGAGTCAATCCAGACATCGGACTCCGACGCAGAGCCATCTGAATATAGGTCATGTGAGTTAGGACGGTAAGCATCTGAATACTCATCATGTGGTCCACAAAGACCAAGGAGTACTGGACAATCATAGTCGATTGGATGTGGGTGACCGGTTTGATTTTGCGAAGGAAAGAAAAGAATGCAGGATGAGCGCAGGTTTTCATGTACCCACCCAACACAATGCATTGCGTGGACAGCAGCGATAAGTTTTTTGGCGAGGGAAATTCGCGTGCCAAGATCTAAAATGTACACGCAAAAAGAATGGCGTCTTTCTAATAGCTCACGCAGAGAAAAAGGCATGCAGCTTGGGGAGATCGCGTCGGCGGGGCGGATCTGGGCTTGATTATAACGGATGTGTGACGGTGTGGCAAGTACTAGACCGAAACGACGACGAATAGGGTCCTCGACAATTCCATAACATCCTGGAAGTAGGAGTACATCTGGTTTTGGTGATTCAAGCATATGAGCTTTAGCGCGCGCATAGTATTCTTGGTCGGTACCTAAATCATCCGCCCATTCAATAAGTACAATACGGTGCTCTTTCCGGACAGGATAGTCGAATAAAAGTGCCATGGTCGAGCAAGGGGACGATATTGCATAAGAAGGATCTAGAAGAAAGTCACACAGTGTGAACTTGTAGGTGTTCTTTAATGCCTCAAATTTTACAGCTGCTCTGAATTTTGCAGCTAGACTGATCTCGTGATATCGTCTCACAGAATCACTCTCAGGATAGGAATGTCTCATCTCATAATCTGCTGCTTCTGAGAGTCGATGAAGTTGGGGAAGTTGCATCTTCCGAACAATATCCAGCTCTCCTCTTAACAGTCGGTCGATGTCTGACTTGGGACCAATCGAGGTAATTATCTCAATATAACCTCTAAGAAGATCAATGAGGCCTATCCAGGGAGATCCTTTTTTCCTGAGCATAAACTTGCATCGTTTGATATAGGATAGATTAGCTGCACATCTTTCAAGAAAATTCCCCTGCGTCTCGGGAGTAAGTTGAATTCCATCCTCTAGCCGGAATATATAGAGGTCTTCGGCTTCCTGTTATGAAAAATTAGCCCAAAATAATATCAACAAACTTATGACTTACACGTTTCATAACCTGGCTCGCCTTTATACCATACTTGAATTCTAAACCGTGAGTATCGCATAATACCAGAGCAATCAAAGCTGCTTGATCAAGGACCTTTCTACCGGCTAGCGGAAAAGAGGTAGCAAACGCTTCGAATCCCAAATCGGGTCTCCCTTCTTCATCTCTCCAAATCTCTCTCCAGGAGTCATATTGCTAATCACGTGAGTATGAAACTAACAATATATCAGTCAAAGTCGAAATGCATACGTACTTCTATTATAAATTCTAGTCGAGCAGCGGGTAGCTCTAGGGTACCAGGCCTGTCAAAAATTTGTTTGATCAAATTAAAAGCATCTTTAAATTCCACAATGTCAGTTTTTGCTCAATTACAAGTGAAAGAGAGTATAACCAAACAACATGAGGGAATACGCATACCTCGACATAGCGGAAGAAGGTCTAAGACAGTTGGCACAATGCAAGAAAATTCCGCCATTTCCATATTGAGATGTTAAATCTATGGAAACTGTCACTTTCTTCCTTGAGTTAATCGTAATGTTGATGTTCTGGTGATTCTCTAGAATTATTACGATCACGTGCCATATACGTAGTTAAAACACGGGCAGTTCCCAAGAGTCGATGATTTTGTTAGCCACGCAGAATGTTAGATAAGATTAGATAAAATTAATATTAAACTTCCGTGAAACTAGTTGTAATAATGATAAAAAGTCAAAAGGGCTTACCTGATGGATTTGCACAGAAACATGTGCAGTTCACGAGATGTACAAATAATTTAGGCTGCGCGTAAGGCTAGTCGAAGCCTTGTAGTCACCAATACGCGATGATTGGTTGATTTGGAAAGCTTCAGCCGCGTTTGCGCAATCAATTAACGGAAAATGAACCGTCATGCGATCGTGTAGATTGTTACGCGTACTTGCTACCATGGTATGGGTTAGTTTTTTTCACATTCACCGATCATAAAACCACGGAGAATACATCGGAGGGGATTGGCCACTAAAATAGCCATTCGGAATACCACCATTAATGTTGGTCCTTGCCAGACACTCATCTTCGGTTTACGGCTCAGAACAAGCAAAATACGGCAACCATTGGACGAAGGACTACCTCGTTGCGATAAGATACCTTTTACATCACTATTGATATAATGATTTTGGTTACAATTTCATGGTCTCCGTCAAATTGGTAACCAGTTATGCACAATGTATAATTTAATTTTGGTTACTACATAACCCAAAACCCCACATTCTAACATAGCAGCTTGGTCTACATCTAGCTAGAAAGCTGTATAGGTTTTCTGTTACTCGTGTAGATACTAGCTTGACTTCAAATGTTATCAAGGCTTTCTCAGCAGTCAATCCTTCTCTCACACAAAAAAGCCTGAGCCAGAAAGGAGCCCAATGTGTTAGATAGTCTAAGACTCAAGTAGTACAATAAACATATCTCTCTCTCAGTAATCATTGTGAGTAAGCAATTGTTGTTTTTACTCCTTTGTCGTAATCTAATTTTTGACCCTCGCTGAAAATATGCGCTTGCTGAAGTTTCTCGCCAACCGATGATGATTTCATTGAACTGGCTAACGAACTCTATGTTTTGCTTCATGAACAAACAATTTATCCTGGGCTTTGGCTCGTTTACAAGTTCCATGCATGTAGTGTGTCTTCCCCAAGGTAGACGGTAGCGCTGACCAGGATGTGCGTCATGTTCGCACCAGCTGATGCGAGGTCTATAAAGCTTGGGTGGTGGGTCCACTTACTAGCGTGTCAATCTTGTAGATCGCATCTCAACCCTACGAGGCTGGCCCGGTACAAATGAACTATACTAGGATCAAAAGTGAGACCGGCTACACTGACACTATGCCGCACATCGATTATAAAAGCTCCGCTAGACGGAGCCGACATCATTCCGCTGGAAGTGCCGGCATATCCGTTGCCTTTGGTATTTGAAAACATATCTAAATTCTGAGGAGTCACATGTGGAATGAAAACGTATTGGCCAAATTTTCTTTCATGCTTGTCAAATGATCAAGTCCCCTTTGAAAAGTTACAGATCGCAGTACTTCAGCCAATGTGTAGACAATCCTGGACTGTAAGCGAGGCAGAGGTTTGGGACCTACCATAACTCTAGCCTCATCAGAACAGTAGATTAGAACATTTTAATTATGTTCACAACACAAGGGTTACGAATTGAATGTGATATTCTGGTAATCACAAATCTATCGGACGCACATTACCAGGAGAACAAGGTTGTAAGTGATGAATTTGCCAGTGAAAGGATACTCGAGTCCAGTTTCGTATAATCAACGACACTAAACCAGATCCGGTGATGCCACCTAAAACGGGAATACTGGGCCAGATTACGAGACAGAATTAGCTCCAGCTACATATCTATCTCATAGTGTGCGCCACGAGCATCTCATGAACATATTGTCTACAGAGTCTATACAATCATATAATTCCCGACGAATAACTCTCGCATTTTACTCCGATGTCTAGTCTTGCAAGTGAGGACACCCTTGCGAGAGCTCGTAGCACACGTGTGCTGCCCAACGATTTAAAAGCTATTCCACAATCTAATGTGGGACGCTCTAATATTGCAATATTCCTTGCAAACCTACGATTGTTAAATTTTGATCAACGAAATGACTGGCCAGATATCAGCCTCTTGACTTTTTCAACCAAAGACGCACATCAAAACCAAAAGAAACGAGTAAGATGCGTAGAATGGGCTTTATACCAACTCTTTACCATATGGGATCGAGAAGAAGCATTAAATGCACGTAAGATTTCACCAAAAATAAAATCATGTATTGACAGGTTATGTATAGAAACTACAGCCATTCTTCCCTCCTCTCGAACCGCTCCAGTCTTTAAATCTCAGGACCGCGCTCTTTCGATGTCTCGATCAAGCGAGGAAAAACGGAACACTAGGACCTAACATTGTACTACGAAAGACTATGTTTGACGAGTGTAAGGGAGAAAGGTTAGAAGAACTTCTAGCCGTGTTTTCGTTTCAGGTTTTAAAAAAAGTTCTCCAAGATAAAGAATCCTCAAATAAGCACATTCCACTAGCACAGAGACTGGCTATTAATAATTTGAACTCATCTGAAGAAAGAACTATTCTATACCCATTGGTAATAGCTCATAGGGCCTCTCTTAAAAAACATCTGGAAGATAAGGAGAAGTCACGCTCACAATATCACAAATTATCACAAATTATTAGTCTAGCCAATCGTAGAACAGAGCAACAGGATGGAAGAATGCATCGAACAGTGGACGAGACTCATTCACGGATAAAGCTAACTGAACGGAAAATTCAAGAAATTCAGGATAGGGCGGCCGCAAATTGGTCAGGGAAGCAAGAATGGCTACAGCACATTCTTTTAGGCACAAGACCAGTATCAAAGTGCAGCTTTCTATCAAAGGAATTTGATGATGTCTGGAATCATGTCGAAAATGGGACTGTTGAAAATCTGGAAGATGATTACAAGCTCAATCTACTTGAACAACTCAACTACAGGGTACAAGACCAGGAGAATCGACTTGCTAAGTGGCAAGAGTTTGGGAGAAGTTTGGCCAAGGCTGACACGAAGTCACCCCCTAAAAAAATGAAAGGGACAGTGCCAAGGCCGAGAAGAATTGATTTAGATTTTACTAAACATCAAAGCTTGAAACCAAGAAGCTCTTCTTTGAATCATGATAACAACTTAAACACCTTTACACTCGAAGAGTATAGTGAGTTTATCATGAACCTAAAGCTAAAGCTGTCTTCGATTGGAAAGTTACCTTCTCCAGTAAATCAGTCTGCAAATGACGCAGAAAACCAAGAGTTAAAAAAAATGAGTTTAGCCATCCCTAAAACGGAGCGGATAATAGCAACACTGGACGAATCGGGATCTATGTATGATACAGATATCTCGCATGATGTAGACAGCGGAATATTCACACATACCCCACAACCTCAACTTCTGAAGAGAGGTGTTGAACTCCCAGAGCAAAAGCGATCCAGTTTTGACAGAAAAGCACCGGACAAGCACATTAAAAAAATGGGTAAACTAGACAACATAAACCCCAATTTGTCGTCTAGTATGAATGCTAGGAGAAGTCTACAACCTCATTCTAACCGGTTAAGTGCCTGTTTAAATTCTGCCAATGAAAAAATTGTGGAGGAAGATTTGAACCTTGCAAATCAAATATTAGACTCGCTTTCCTCGGCTTCGCCCTCTCCACAAAAACTTAGACGAACGCTTTCTTTGGCAGAACGAACGCGAATGTCGATGTCTCGTACACCACATCTCCCACACATAGACTCCGTGGAAGAGAACGACTTCGCATTATCACCTTGCCTTTCACTGAATCCAAGATTATCGATTGCGACTGAAAAGTCCGGCAATGAAACTAGGCTAGACATACATACTGATTTAGTCCAGCGCACAAGACAAAGCATGGCAGGCCTCGAGGCATCTAAAAAGAAATCCCAGGCCGAGCGGCAGAAAATTGAGAAACAAAATAAGCAGCATGAAAGGGAGAGCTGTCACATTTCAAAAACAGAGACAGACGCTCCAATCCCTAAACTAGATAAGCTTGATCTAATCGAAGGTGATCCAGACTATGAGAGTGTATTCATGAGTAGACCGAAGATTAAGATGAGTCCAACAGTCAGCCACGAAATTAGTTGGAGCGATGGAGATCCAGCAAAACACAAGGAATCTGGGCAAGTTGAATCAACAATCTAATAAGGGCAAATTATATCTTACAGGTATAATGTGAGTGGATTTTTTAGAGAGCATTTACCGAATTCTGAGCACTGAACTTATTTAACATCTTATGCCGACCCGGCAGTACCGTAGCGAAGAACTTATCTTAGAGTAGATATTTGTATCCTGGAAATGCCAGTGAAGTAGGTTGGAATTCAGATTAATGATGGAATGTAACTTCGCTGCCTATCTTTCCATCTTTGAAAATTTAGTGACAGAGATTAACTTTTTAATGTCCCACAATTGCTGTTCTGATATTGCTTGGACGAGTGTTGGTGGGTCTTTTCTTCACTCTACTGGCCGAGCAAGCCTGGACACCCTGAAGTTGTGTTGTTCACTTTTTTCTCATAGCTAGAATTTGTATGAGCCATCTATCAATAATGATCAACGATTGCACTTGAAACTCTTGTGCGTAGCAAAGCTTCCACCTATTATAAGAACATTCAAGTGAGTATATTTAACCTGTGTTCTACCTACGCTGCACATCAATCGGAAAGAAAGGTGGAATATCGAAAACTTTCTCGTCGAATTATGCCAAACAGATGTGTTCTCTTAAATCTTCCAGTTCGATAAAAAAGTAAGGTCATATCCTTAACCTTTCGAGTGAATATTCATCTTCTAATCACTGCGAACAGCCTCTTTTAGATGAGCACGCGTCTAGACAGCTTGTCTTAATCCTTAGCTGAAGGAGAATCTCACTTACGAGATTGCTTGATCTTTGCTATTTGTATTTCCATAATTCCAGGCTGAGGATTCAGATGCGATATTAGACCTATATCATTGCAGGATCGAAAAATTTGATAGAATAAGAGTGGAGAGAGATTGTTGATAAGCTTAGCGATAGAGTCGAAGCATTTTCGCTCAATGTCATTTGATCATGCTTAGGCAAAATGATGCCAATTGCAAAGCCTAATAGACTTGTTGTATGGCTTAATACCGATGAAACTGAAGTCTGATAAGGTTGGCAGCAAGCTCATATCAGTCTCTTGAGACTTCATAATATTTTTCTAGCAGGATACTCTCAAGTTAGAGGTTAGTGAAATTAACCCTCAGGAGTGCTTAGCAATAAAATTTAGTTAGTAGGCGCTTCCGATGAGAGTTCTACTAGAGCCCATCTCTTGTCAGCTTCTTTTTGTCCCTTTTGACCTCGTCGAGCCATTGTCTCTAAAGTGGCCTTGATCACGGCGGCAGGACGCCCAGGCAAACGTTTTTTAAGGACCTCAATCAGTCCTATCTTGGAAAGATCGCTACCGACTACAATACTTTTAAAGCTTTCCAAATCTGAAGGGGCTAAGAGTCTTTTGCCAGGGACCGAGGGCTGACTGACAGTGGGTTGTGCGCGAGGTGGTGGCGAGTGGCCGGACGGATGGGATTGGGAGACGAGTGCAGCGGCTGATTGTGTGGGTACGCTGATGCTGACGCTCGGTGGAGAGCGCGGGGGCCAATAGGCAGAGGAGAAGGGATCTATCGGGGGCCTGACACTGGCTAGAGTAACTTAGTGGCCGAATCAAACGAGTACAGGGGACGCGTCACTTACCATGAATGATCTCGAGGCGATAGAGACATAGTTCTGGCCGCGCTGGCAAGCCGCGCGAATCTTCCCAGCAAATTCCGCTGCTAATGGGTACAAGCTCGGCTTCAGAAAAAGGGCTATGGACCGGTGTGAGCTCGGCATCGGCATCGGCATCATCGAGAAAATCTTGAAGATCTTCTTCATCGTCTATATCATCTTCCTCATCACCGCTGCCGAGCTCTTCGCCTTCTTCATCTTCAACCCATTCGGCTTCGCTGTCATAGTCATAGTCAAAGTTAGGTAGGGCGCGGCAGAAAGGGTTGCGCGCCAGCCGACGCGGACCACCGATAGGATTAGCCGTGAAGGTGCCACGGTAGGGTGGCCGAACGTCTTCATAGAATTTTAAAAGCTTAACAGGAATGGTTCGGAGGATATCAGGTGCATTTCCTGACGTGGACTTTAAGTAGGCGTGGCGATCGTTTTGAGAAACCAAGCCTTCCATGAGATGGCGCGCCGAAACTATCGGTTTGCCTCTAACAGCGCCCCGGTGCTTCTTGGGAAGCTGGAGAAGCCGGAGGAGGCGTTGGCGAACATTCTCGATGGGCCAGCGTTTCTCAGTAGCGCCATCTTGCATGCCAGGCACCTGATCCTTGGGCAGAGGCAGAATAGGAGGGCGAGAGATCGGTGCAAGGCTGACGCCACTCTGAACAAAGAAGGCAGGAAACAGCTTGTCATATAGAGTGGGCGAAGGAAGGCGAGCTGGCAAAACGGACGCGTCAGATGTGTGTGGTGCGGCATCACAGGGTGGCGCGAGGGGGATGAGCGTAGAAGCGACTTCAAGTCGACTCTTCTGATCCCGCGGACCGGCAGCTGGTACGGCGAAGAAGCTCGGTAACTTTAACTGGGATTTCTCTTGACGGCGCTTTTCCTCTGCCCGGCTCAGACGGGTAGCTTCGATACGAGCGCGCCGGTCGAGCACCTGGCTACTCGCCTTCGTCTCGCCTGTCTTCTGTAAGTGAGGGAGCACCGGCTCGCTCGCGTCGCCTACTCTACTGGGGCCCGGATTCACCGATTCTCGCGTTCGCGGGCGAGTAGATGTTGAGGTCTGCGTCAGTTTGAGCTTCTTCGTAGCCGGTGCTTCATGCTCCACAGCGGGCGGCGCCACAGCTGGGATATCGTCTGATGAGGTCAGGCTGAGCATGGCGGTAGACGCCGTTTCGTTAGCCATAGAATTTTCTAATAGACTACCCGAAATGAGGCATGAACTTTCGGAGTGAGCTGACCTATCGAAGGGGGATGCTCGTTTGAGTGGCGCGCGAGATGAATCAGACGACATGGTGCGAAGGCCGACTTGTCGTGCCCTCGAACTTCCCCCGACCCCACTTGATGAACAAAAATTTCCAGTCGATAGGTTTTGTCGGGGGATCCAGGAGGCGTTGCGTTATGTGACGATGGATTTTCAGTGTTGGTGTCGAGTACTTAGTACAAATTAATGGGATGACTACAGGGTTAACTTGCAATAACTCGACACGTAAGCGCTCTCACGTTCGCGTGTGGGAGGCGCCAGGCCGAAGCACCTTGGCGCCTCCTGACTAATAGGCATTATGCCACAGTTTATGCAAGGTATAATTATCATGGCAAGTACTATTCAATGAAGTACGATTATTGTGAGTGATGGGAGGACAGCGCAAAATCTATCGTGGCACGCCTATCCTCTATATACCCGGGCTCGGCGTTGCGACGGCATGGCTCGTGAGTAACACGTCTTGGGCCACTCACGATCATGTTGAGGATATTCTACGACTCCCACCTACCCAAACGCCTCAGCGTCCCGACCGCTCAAACGCCTTGATATCCCTCCACTTCAGGGTTCTTTTTAGTCCGGGACTCCTATTTCACCCCCTCCCCAAAGTTTTTTATGCTACTTTTTCATCTCCTCAGCCTTCTTAGTCACTGTCTGCATCTGGGTTGGCAATGTATAGTCTGACAGTCCCCATGGTCATAGCTCTATCGTCGACACTGCCTCTTCGACGTAGCTCTTCGGGAGATTTTGTGCTCTTCTGGCGCGACATGCTTGTATTGAGATGACTATTACTCGTGAGTCTGGCGGAGTGAAGTGAACTGAGTTCGGGCAAACAGTCTGCCTTTTCACCTCGGATACTTCCACTACTTTCACAACGGTTATTGTCCCTTACCATAGTAGTGCGATGGCAGTAGCTCGGCTGCGAAAGATATAGGGCATCACTTTCCTCAGGAGCTACGAGGCTCTCGCCCAGAATTTGTTTTCCATCACCGAGTGTTTTGCCTGGGTTAGGTGCCTTTGTCGTAGATAACATGGAGGGGGAATGGCGTGGGTAGGCTAGGCGTTTTCGGCTACTGGAGATACTGCTACGTCCACTGCCCGTACGACGGTGGATAGATCCGTCAAGTGTTTGAGGCATTTCAGAATCATCGTTGCTCTCTCCTCCCTCTACCTCAGTCGCGCTAAGACGGGTCGGTACACCCACCACACCCCCTGCTTGATCGGTGGGAGTATATCCGACGAGTCCTGGCTTGCCATGATGTCGAATTTTCGCAGCTACGCGCGTACTACCCGATAGGCTGGCTGAGCCACTGGTAGAAGCGCGAGGTGGAACAGGACCACCGACCACTTCTCTTGATGCTTGCATCTTTGCAGCTTTTTGTTGAGCCAGAAGTCGCGGATCTTCCAACTGCGCTCGATCACACCAGACTGTAGCTTTTTGTTTTCGCATCAGTGCCACATAACTAGTAGGTTGGATGGGACCGGCAGATCTAGAGGAGATTGATCGCCTTAGGTCTTCTGAATTGTTTCGGAGCGGGAGAAAAGTATGACCACCGCTAGTCGTGGTGGAAATCGAGGCGCTGGAGGCAGTTCGGCGAGAGGTGTAAGTGTGTACCTGCATTTTGTTATGAGGGGGCTGTCGATATTGAGGGAAGACTGTCTGATTGGAGTGGGCGCCACTCATGAGGGTGCGGCCTAGATTGTGCTCTGGGGAGGAGCCGCTGAGTGGTGGTGGCAATTGCGGCAGTAGCAGTGGCAGTAGCAGAAGGATTAGCAGCCGAGGCAGGGAGGCAGTTCTAGAGCGAATCGATGTTGGTGATAGCAGTGGTAATAATAGTGGTAGATTGAGTGATGGTCGTAACGGTAGCAGCACTGATGTTCTGGTGGTGGTGGAGGATGAGGAATCTGTTGCGTAGAGCCAGACGTCATTCAGGACAGGGCTCGCCGCAATCAGAACCAAGAGAATAAAAGTTCTTTGCCAGTTGGTTTGGAGTTTGGAACTGGGACCCGGGGTGTGTATATAGCAGGGCAGGGGTAGAGGCGGTGAAGCTAGACGGGACGAGTCCCTTGCAACAAATCATCTTCTTGGTGGCGGTAGCCAGGCTCATGGGGAGGGGGCGGCTGTATGGACAGCAGCAAGCGCTGGAGCTAAGAGGCCGTCGGCAGCCTTCGGCGTTTGCGCGGCCGGCGCTCTTCTGTGCGAGATCAATTAGGGATACACTAGACACAGCGATCTGGCTAGGAGTAAGAACAAGAGAATAAACGTTGGCACTTGATGATCCAGACCGAGGAGCTCTCGCGTCAGAAGCATCGAGAATTTCGGCGAGAGATCAAGCCGGTGTGCGACTAGATGCAGAGCTTGTGCTGAGAGAAATGAGGTACAAATAGAGCAGCCGGAAAAGGAAAGGAATCCAGTTAGATAGCGACGGGATGCATGGGGCTGGGCAGGTGAATTGGCCGAGTTCGTCCGTGGGCCAGGCTCCTAGGAAGCTAAGTGGTGGCCGCTGCAGGCGACCGGTCTGCTCGCACTCGTCAAACCCAATGAGCCTGGCGTCAGCCAAACTGGCGGACGATAGACATGGCCATGGCCACGTCTACCGCCTCTTCTGCTGGCCCAGCCCCTGCCACCCAAATTTACTAGGGCTCCGTCCAGGTTCCCGATCGATACCGTCGCTACACTAGCCGTCTCAGGACTAGCTCGACGAGGCTGTCATAAGAGTTTGCCCAAGTGGGCTCCACTCCCCGACTCGGGCACGGCGAGGATGACGCATTTCTGCCAATTGCATGTCTATATCGGGGTGTCTCTCTAGACATTTAGCCTCAGCATGCTGGTGCGGCAACAGTGCCCCTCGCCCCGTACTAGACTCACTTTCCCTAACTGTGATTGAATCGCGACAATTGTGGCTCGCCTTTCATATAATGCGTCGTGGCGCGGCCTTGGGAGAAGCAGTTATCCTGAACTTGGGAGCCAGCACTACATGGAACAAGCCAGAGTCATAGGGCGCGAAGCGCTGTGGCTTCCGACCACGGGGACGGTAAGAGGGATGGAAACCGCAGGCACTGAAAAGACAGAGGAACGACGGACAGATGAGTATCGTCATGTCGGTATATTTTTAGATTTAAACTTATATGTTTGGTTGTATGATCACAACACTTTATCTTCTTCGTGTACATGATACATAGATTTTGTAAGTCTACAACCGTACATGCTCTTTATTTTATTCCAAAAACCTTGCAAAAAAGTTGACTTGCTACGACAACACAACAAATTACAAGACCAAAATGTTAAACAACGGGGAAATTTAGGTATTTCAATTGTCGGAGCATTAGTCTATTGTCCTGATCGTGAGCGCTGTGAGGTAGGTGTGTGGATCTTGCTGGATTAGCAATGTGTTGTCTACCACTCAACCATCCGACACTTTGCCGAAGCCAAGAGTTTGTATTCTACACACAATACGTTGGCTGCCTCATCCTGTCTTCGTCTGGTTCGGTCATTCATACGAAGTCGCCCGGGTTGACTAGCGCTTCGCCGGGATGCAAGTCACGTCTTTACGGCCCGGTGCAGGGCTCTTCTTCAATTCCAACCGAAATCTAATCCCCAATTTGACTGATCATGAACTGGATCAGCCATTCCTGCCGATGGATTAAGAGATATTCCTCGCGTCCTACTTCATTCATTTCCACCAGTCGACGCAAAAGATCACTCCAGCCTCTGCAACACCCTGGTACACGCCAGCTCCACCTTTGTCTTCCCACCGTTAGCGGAAGACTAGCGAACGCGATAAAGTTGAGCCTTCTCGATTCTGGCCCGTCTCTAGTAAGGGTAGCAGATGAACGCTAAATTTTAGCTTCATGCCCGATTTCGCAAACATCTGGAAGACTGGACAATGAACGGACTAGCCTGTTACTGGCGCGGGTGGTCATGGCTAAGTCACTATCGCTTGTACACGAAAACTAGCAGGTAGCATATGATGCTCTAGAGCATTTCCAGCCACTCGGTCGTGATGAGAGTGATGTGCTGTAAGCTCGCATGGTACAATCCCTAACGTTAGTCACGGCCTGTTCAACTAATCCTCTCAATCTCATTACTCAGCGGATGGGAAAATAACCTCATATGCATAGCCTCATGCGAGTTAGCCTAGTGGAGGGCAAAGACTGAATACCTGTACGCGGTGTCCTCTACGAACCTAGGAGTAAAATATTCTCCTAGAGCCAAGTTCAGTCAAATTTCGCAATTCCGAAGAAGTTGGCCCACGAGGCATTGATTTAAGACACTACGAAATTAAACTCTCCCACCCAAAGATATCAATCCTCATCAACACCTCATCAAGTTTACAAGTACGACCGAGTGCATCCTCGTTTCAATGACCACGTTTCTTATCGAATATTCTCTGGCCTAAGCTGTCCACCAAATACACATCCACGCTGATATTTATACCCGACAGAGGAAACAAAGCGTGGCGCACAAATCTGGGAGACAGCTCTTTGGGATGGACATGAGAGGGATTGGGAAAAGTTTACAAGATGTTACGAAGGATATAGACAATCTTGGGTGTATGACTTGGAATTCTGGCAAGGAGTTTCACGAATTGATCTTTGTGCGCGCCAAGACATAGCTTGCGAGAGTGCGGCTCACACTACAAACACAAGTAAACGATGAGGTGGTGTTCTCTGGTATAGTATGAGTAGCCTGGGCACCTACTCCACGTGCGAAGGAGATAACCCAAATCACATTTCGCGCGGAGAAAAGTCAGTGGATGATAGAGGCATGTCTGGATAACTCAGGGTTTTTGAGATGTTGCCAAGGGTGGTTATTCACGGATGAGGGTTGACTTTGAGTGAAGAAAAAGCCACCATAACTTCGCAGTGGTACTTGCAAATGGGATCCGAGGCATGAGTGCCCCTCCTTTACATTGAGTCATCTATTATGTACTTTTCTTTGATAGTGTGTCATAGCTAAATAGCTGCATACGCAATTAAAATCTGATGCAAAAAAAAGACATATCCTAGCCCACCCAACTGTACAGGTTTCATCTGTTCAGATATAAAATGCATCGTTATCCATAACAATCAGCCTCGTATCCTCTCCTTGAGCAACACGCACGGAGCATAAAGATTACACAATCCAACAATATGGTGATACACACTTGGTAGCTAGCATACACGGGAAGCGGATCTCCTCAGTGGGGGCTCGGCCACTATTAGGATTCGTTAACATCGGTACAACTATCAAGGCTGTCGGGAAATTTTTATGTTCCGTTTGGGTCGTCTGACTGTCTTACACCCGGTCTGATATGAATTGACCTTCTCAGATTGTTCTCCGGTATCATGGATCATGAGATCAAATTTGTACTCTCTGGGCACGGCGAGGACACAGCGTCTAGCACTCACAGTCACACACTGAGCTTGCCAGCTGACAGAACATTGTCAGCACCAAGTCGAATCCGCTTCTTTACAGAATCCTGGTCCCCTTTGAGTCATTTTCGGCATGCATTATTGTATGACTGAGACTGGGGAAGATCGATCCATATGTTACTGCCCACGGTAGGGTCAGCTCCGGAATATCTACTCCATATTTTCTCGCTAGCTCCTTCTATCTACACTAATCAATTGCTAAACATGCCCCGAATAATGGCTTATTTTAGCTCCAACGGCTGATGTTTTTGTACGAATGATATGGTGCCATAACATCAAGAGATGGGGTGAGCGTCATGTGGAAACTGATGTTTTAGCCCCATGTCTCTTGACAAGCCCTAACTTTAACATCAATTCGAGGAGGACAAAGTCTGAACACCTGTCAGTGGTGTCCTCTGCGAACCTGGGAGTAAAACATTCTCCCAGAGCCAAGATTCAGTCACGACAAAAGGTGAATTTGAGAGTTTTCGTCGATTTGGCAATCGGGAGTAGTGGTGTTGGCTCATTTTTGGTCGAAAATCTGACTTGCAGAGATTTCACTACTGCACGACTCATCGAAATCAATCATCTACACCCCAGATACGAACTGCAGACAGCCTATAACCTGTCTGATGTTCGTATTACAAAAACCGACACCTTCAACATCTTTTTTCTATTTCTCTGAAAAATCACTCCTAGCCAAACTCATCTCGCGGCCCTCTCAACAATCATCTAACCATCTGACTAAGAAATCCTATACCTCAAAAAGCCAAATCGCCAACTAAGAAGCAAGAGGATTTCCGACCCTCCGCAACTGCAAGTCACTGTGAAGGTACGGTCGAAATACCGGCCTTAAATGCGTCCTCACCTCGGCTAAGGGCACCAACAACTCGACCTGCGACGAATCGCCACCGACGAAATACGTACGACATTTCGCCGGCACACTAACCAGAGCGTTCGACAAAGGCTGGGGCACCGGTGCCTCGGTCTTGAGCTCTCTGTCGCGTTTTCGACCTCCACGGTTAGGGGTATGGCAGCGACGGGGCAAGGCCGGAGGGGTGGAAATTCAACAAAGTTGCTAGGATGACGAGATCGGCTGAAGGACAGAGGGATGCTGCATGAAGGAACAAAAGGGAATACAAACTGAGGAGGCCTTGGTGGGCGACTGGATGAGGCCTCCAGTGAAGAAAACGACTCCTGGATGAGATGAGGAGATGCTGAGATGAGCCAAAGCTGGGAATGAATCGAAGGGAAAAGTTACAGACAGCGAAGATGTCAAAGGCTCGGACG